TATTACAATACAATTTATTTTATCTTTAAGTTTTTTTTCATGCACCTATAATTTGTTTTTCTGTTTTTGCGAAAACGTCAACAAAAGGTCAAATTTTTTCTCACATACGTTTTGATGTCGAACGATTCAGAATAACTTTAAACGTCGAGAAAACATAAAATCGGATTTTCTGGTAGGAACAAAATTCTTCGGGAACACAGTAATTCTATTTATCTATTTATCTATCTATACTTATGGTTGAATTCTGTTAATTTTTTATCCTCTTCATCTTGTTGTATATTTGGTTAAAAAAAACATAATAAATATTTAACAAGAGTTTATTTGTAACAGTGACATTTAATATAAAAAATGGTATGGTAGACTGCAAATGTAAAGGTGTCGAACAATTACCACCAACATTTTCATTAATTCACTAAGGCTAAACTCGTTAAATTATAAAAAATATAACTCATACAAATAATAATATATTTCCAATGGCATTTGGTGCATTCTGTTATTCCAAGCAATTATTCGTTTCTTAGTTTTAGTGCTAAAATTGGAAGAATTCTAAGAACACAGAAATTTTTGTTCAATTTTAATTTTGCAGCTATAAAAATTAGATACAATTTTTATGATTTACATATTTTCCACCTAATTTATTAAGTTTTGTCAATGTAATTGAATTTTGAAATCAACCTAATACTATACTGATTTAAGTACATATTGCAATAATATTAAATATAATACAATAGTATTTGCACATAACACATAATATTATATAATTAAGTAAATGTTTCATACAATTGCATTAACATTATGAAAACCTTATCAAAATGTATTTCACTATTTATTGCAATCAATTATTTTGATAAAATTATGTGGTTGAAGTCAAATTATTGATTTTACTAATTACTATAAATATAATTTTTTTTGTATGACTAATAAAAAATAATAACCACAAATACTCACAAAGTTTTATATATGAGAGAAATGTTTTAGATATGTATGCGAAGGTTTGGTATTTGAATTGAAATGCAAATTACAGTAATTGCAATTATATTGTCAAAATATGTTTAGAATACTTAATTAAAAAATTCATCTAAACTCTAAAATTGAAACCTCTCATACATATTTAAAACGATTAAAAACATATAATTAATTAATTTAATATGGTATATTGCACCAAATATTTCAATTAATATTACAGGCAATATTAATAGCACTATTTTACATTTACGATTACTTACTGTTCTTACTGTTTATATATTATTATGGATGACTTAGTTATTAATATTATTTATTAACTAAACAGCAGTTTTCCAATTCATGGACAAATTTATTGCCATATATAAATATTATACATATATTTATCTTCAAATAATCCATGATTAAAAATTTATAAGGGTTGTGCAATAAATTAAAGATTGCAATTAATACATACCGAAGAATAATACTATTACAAAGCCTAACTGATCAGTGCAATCTGAAAACCACTATAGCACAATGATTGTACTAGAAAAGTCAATATCTTTGTTGAAATTCATGATGCCAGCGGTTAAAGTCGATGTGGAATACCACGATTGAACCAGTTGCTAAGCCGGCCAGCAGGAATCTGAAATAAATAAATTAAAAATTAATGTACGTCTCATGACTAGTAATTTTAGCATAGTCATTCTTGCTTTTCAATATTGAATCTATATTAATTAAATAAATTGATAATGAACTCTTTTAGTAATAAACTATACAATTTCATTCAAGCCCTTTATATTATAATTTATAAAATTCAATAACTTACTTCTGATCATGGGATAAGGCTAATGATCGAATGCTGCTATCACAAGCAGGGAATGCATAAAGCAGTGCCAAGTTAAACGTCCGCCAAACCTCAACAATACCTTTATCTCCACCAGTCATCAGGTATTCACCATCACGACTGAGCAGGAGCGTCTGAAAATCACAATTGAAAGGTGAAATAAAATTCTATCTAAAATAGTTCCCAATGCAATATATGTTACCTGTAAATTATCATTGTGTGACTCATATCTCAGTCTTTTGCCATTGACCGTAAATGCGGCAATGTTTCCTTTCTTATAATTGACTACTATCACTCCTTCTCTGGACATTGCAATATTTTCCGGAGAGCAGAAACCTTCCGGCGCTTCCAACGATCTCAGTAAATCGCCAAATGTAGTATGGATTAGAACAGGTCCGTCTACAAAAATATATCAAGAATTATTTTAATGTAATGTCGATCAATTAAAAAGTAAAATTAATGATTCGAATATCTTACTGGTTGATCCTGAAACGACGAGACCCAATTCTGCGCTGATAACGACGCCCGATACGGGCTTTTCGTGACCGGTGAGCGTCGTCCTGGGCGTCGGGACCTCACCTTCGCCGACAATGCTCTGGGTGCGGGCGTTCCAGTGCCAGAGCAGGACGGTGCAGTCGGCCGAACCTGATGCGATGTAACAGTCTGATGTTATATTGCACTCGGAACGAGACAGGCAGGTCACCACACCGTAGTGGCCGAATACTATCTGCACGATTTTCGCTGAGGACAAACAAATTAAATAAGTCTTAAGGAATTCAAAATACAGGTGATAAAGTGATACATATTTGAAAAAACGTGTTATCATATTGATGTAATGAATACAAATATGTTTACCGATTTTTTAAAAAAAGTAATAAACAGAAAGAGAAAACTTGATCATGTTTTCGCAAAAAATACTGAAACGATTTATTACTTTTTTTAAAAATATATTCACCTGTTTCCGTTGAGAAAACTCTAAAGCTGTTGTCCCAGAAACCACAGGCCACAAGAAATCTGCTATCGACTGTCGTCACAAAACAATTCGACCTTATTTGCAGTTTTTGACTAAAATTATCGCCCAAATGCCGGCGAACAGTAGAATTCGAACTATTTGTAGCTTGGGCTGAAAATGAAACATAAGCATTATAATTATTGACTAACGATAAATGAATTAAGAAAATGTAAGTCAGGAAAGCTTATTTTATTATTCGTTACCGAATAAACGTTCCGAACTATCGACGAATAACAAGTTAATTATTTATAAATGTACGTGGTCTGTTCAAAAAGTACCCGGAATTTTCGTTTTTTATTTATTTATATTTATTTATTTGTCTACATTAATGTGGTCCCCTTCAAAGTAGTCCCCCCCAGATATAATACACTTATGCCAGCGTTTTTTCCAATTTTCGAAGCACCCTTGATATTCACTTTTTGATATGTCCTTGAGCACTCTCAGCGATTTTCTTCAATCGAGGAAAACCGCCGTCCTTTCATGGGTCTCTTCAACTTTGGGAATAGGAAAAAGTCACACGGAGCCATATCTGGTGAATTTTTGCACTTTGCAACACTTTATTTCATTTTTTACGCAAAATTTAATACAAATTCTTTGACTTTTCAATTCTTCCATTGTAAAAATCGCCGAGCTCAGAAAAACACGTCGAACCTTAGCGACTACCACAGACAAAGTAAACAGTGAATATAGCTGAAAATTTCATCATGTTTCATTAGGGGCATGTATACCAACACAATAAAAAAAAAATTTTGACAATCAGACACTCCAGACCCGCGAAATTTAATTATTAGTAATTCCGGGTACTTTTTGAACAGACCACGTATTTTTAAACCAGTGTGGTCTTATGGGATTCAACTATGGGGCACCGCCAAAAAAACCAATCTACAGATTATTCAGCGAGTGCAGAACAAGATCATAAGGCAGGCATTGAATGCACCTAGGTACGTTCCCAACTGGCTGATTCACCAGGACAGCAACATAATGACAGTAAATGAAGAAATTCAACAAAAAACAAACAACTACAAAAAAAGAATAGACGAGCACCCAAATTACTTGGCCAACAAAGTATATTCAGAAGCGCGCCCAACAAGACTAAAACGAAAAATTCCAAACGATCTTATAAATTTGTAAATTATTATTATTATTATTATTATTATTATTATTATTATTATTGTTATTATTATTGTTATTATTATTGTTATTATTATTATTGTTATTATTATTGTTATTATTATTATTATTATTATTACTATTATTATTTTTATTTTTATTATTATTATTATTATTATTATTATTATTATTAATATTATCTTACTATTTCTATTATTGTTATTTTGTTATATTTTATTATTTTTCTAGTTTATTATTTTTTGTTATATTTTATTATTCTGAAATTTTATTTATACGTGTATTATTTATTAATCTTATTTTTATTATTATTTGCTTATATTTTACATTAAATCATATTACGGATATTATTTTTATGTAAATTTTATCCTTTGCTCTTTTATTTATTTAAATTTATATTATTATTTATCAATATTACTTGATGTTAATAAATTAGCATTTGTAATAATTATTGAAATTAAAAAAAAAAAAAAAAAAAAAATCGTTACCGAATGCAAATTGAATTTTTATTTAATATATATCAACTAAAAATTAATTCTTCTGAACATTCTATAACATGTTCATTAACTAGTATTGTATTGCTACTAACAGTAAATATTAGGTTGTCAAATATCTCCCTTCCGCGGAAGAAAAGCGGAAGGGAGATATTTGACAACCTGATATAATGACGACCAAATAGAAATAAATTTTATTTTGTTACACGTTCTGATTGACTTTAATTAAGTTAACCCTCTAAAGGTAGCTTATTTGTATTTCCATCTACTTACAAAGTACGGGATCCATCGCAAGAGGCAGATTACTGCTTTGGTTTTGGCTGGTTTCAGCATAACTTGGCGACTGTACGCTAACGGCATAATTACAATTCCATCGATTTACAGCAAATTGATAATTTGTCGTAACAGTTACTACTGAAGGGAATGGCAGCTGTGGATAAGTGTTCGCTGATATATGACATATTGGTGAATTCGACAGGAATTTCATAGCCATGCATACATCGTCCGGTATACTGGAGAACATCATCGGAGACTGAAATAATTAAATGTACCCATAAAGCAGTTTGCCTTTTGCAATGACAAATCATAATTCCATATACTTACCACGTGCATTGCAGAACTTCTAGGAGGGTGTGGTTCCATCAGCAACTGCGATGGAGTTTGTCCAAAATTCTTAATTTGGTTTTCTATTGACTCTCTCATTACTGGATCAGCTATTGAATCTAAATCTACACTACCTTCGTAAGTTAGATAATAAAATACATTGGTTGCTCGGAGTGCTTCGGGCCCTGTATTAACGCATATTTATTACATATATTGCAATCAAATACATAACAAACACTCTTGTTTCAATTACCAACCTCTTTGTTTATAACCAAATATCAAATCGATCCACTGATGCAGTTGACAAGAAACAAACTCGGATTCAAGAGCCATCCGATTTATTCTTATGAACTCTTCAGGAGAATTGGCCCACGGTGGAAGTTGAACATTATTTACCGGGGTTCCATCCTCTTGCTGGCCTAAACGATATCCAGAACTGTTCACGAACATTTCTGGCAGGAAAAACCATTCTGGTATCAATTCCTAGAATATAAAATTTTATTTGTATTTAGGAAAGTAAGTTGATAATTGTTATTTTATGATAATATTAACTTGTTGTTACCTTGACGTCTGATGTGTCTCTTTGGCAATTTTTCCATGAATTGGCAACTGAAGAAAATAGACGGTTAGGGTGGTCAAATTTTCCACCTTGTAGAGCTAGGAACATTGTCGTAAAAGGTTCCTAAAGACAAAAGACAAATATGTAATTAATTATTTAATATATATGCGTTTTTATAAAATATAATAAGGGACGTCGAATAAATAACAATTTTGCGTTGACAAAATCGAAATTATTCGAAATATTATTCAAATACTACTTTAATTATAATATATAATTCAAATACCACAATTGACTGTAATAATCCAATATTGATGTTAGTAGCAAAGATGTAACTTTATAAAAAAATGCCTATATTAAAAAAACAATAAGTTAAGAAATAAATAAAAATTAACTTTTTATTTGTTTAGTCACTTATAGGAAAAAATAATTGAAAAAATATTTCTCATTGCATTAAAATTATTTCTTCTATAGGCTTAGAAATACATGGATTTTCAAAAGTAAACATGATCTACTTTTATAAAAGAAGTTTGAACAAATAACACAAGATTCTGCGAATTTTATAAAGTAAACATTTTTAAATTTAAATTTAAGTATTTATTCCAAAAAACCTTATCAATTATAATTAGTAAAATGTCTGTATTTTAACGGAACGAGGAAAAAGTAAACTCATCTCTTAATCCACCTTACCAAGTTAGTTTAATTAAAAAATATTATACTTTTTGCTTTAAAAACAGCGCACATTCAATATTTGGAGCAAATTATTATTCATACGAACGCTACTCAGACTTTTATATATAACAAAAATAGTCATCAGAGTTCTGGTAAAGAATATATAATAATTTGTACATGTCTTACTCACAAATTAAAAATAAAGAGATATTCATATTCGTTTGTGGAATGTCTCCAATATTCCTGTTCAATAATTAATAAATAATATCTATATTTATTTAGTTTCTAATGGCAAAAATTTCGAAATGCTCCGAGCGATCGCATTATGATACATCATATGAATGGCTCGATCGTTCGGCACATGTTTGATCGAATGTAATAAATACTAATAAATAAATAAATATCGCGTGCAAAGTACAAGTATAAGAGTATCGATATCGATATCGATCGTACCACTCTAATGAGCCAGTTGAGAACAAATGCCGATGTTGAGTAATGGGTCCCGTAGTGGAACGGCGGTATGCTCTCGTGTTCCCAACTGTTGTACCTCTCCTCGAAGTAGGCGCGGCGGTTCGGGTTGAGGGCGCCGATCGGCTTCGAGAGGTCCCTGTAATTCGACGGCTGGCTGAGGTCCATGTCCTTCGACTCGTAGTTGGTCAGCACCCACGGGAACACCGGGTACTGGTTCAGATCGTTGTACGTACGACCTGGTAATAGACATATGACACTGGGCGTAAGTGGCATTTTGCATCAAGGCAAATGTGTAAATGATAATAATCGACTTGATGATAAGTATTATAATGACTTTATTATATTAGACTATACTAGATTATTCAATTTTGCACAAATTTTGGCGAACATACTAATTATATTCGATAAATAGTTCAAATATTATGTATTATTGGACAAAAAACAAGCCCGTGCTTAGTACATGGAAAGTGTATGTCCTTAGAGCGCGGCTCATCATTACAAACTTTATTAACTTCGCGTAGAGTAATTTATAGTAAACGCAAAAAAATCGATTCAATATATCTTTACGTTTCAAAACCTTTTGAACATGTTGGCATACCCTATAGAAAAAATGGATGTATGTGTATGTGTATACATGTATGTATGTATTTGTATGTGTGTGTGTATGTATGTGCGGATCGAGAACACGGATTTCAATGATACAAAAAACATTCGATTCCTATTGATAAGGAGACGTACTGATTACTTTTTGGCAAAGACAGATCCAGCCGTTTCGAAGATCTGTGGCAAAAAGAGCCAAAAATGGTACATAGTTTTTAAGAAAACTGAGCGTCCGACTTCAATAATTCAAAAAATATTTTACTTTATTAACAAAGTGAAGAACTAGCTTTTTTGGGATGGCTGGTCTAGCTGTTTCGGAGATCCAATTAAAAAAGTTAAAAAAACAAACCATTTGGCGGTCAAAAATGATCATTAGACATATGCACACCAAATTATCAGATATTTTATACAGATTTTAATAATAAGTACAAATTTTGTTTACATTTTTATAGCTTCCAACTTTTATTCAAAAATTTAAAATTGCTCAAAAATCTGTCTTCAAAAAATTTTAAAGCTTTTTTAAAAATTTTAATTTTTGATACAAAAAATTCCAGCAAAGTGCCAAGCACCACTCGTTCAATTTTTATAGTTAAAATCACTTTTCGTAGGCCTATAATATTTTAGAATATTCGTAAAGTTCCATTATTTTTTCCAATTTCGGTATCAAATTCAGTTTGACTTGTAACGCCGAAAAATAATAAAATCGGCAAATCGGATTTTCTAGCAAAAGCATAAACTTCTTCTTCGAGAATTATAAATACTCGAGATCAACGACTCAACTACAATTCATCATCTCCATAATTCACAACTAAAAAGCAAACTATTTTATTTATTTCCACAAGAAAATATAAAATTAACAAATTAATTAATCAATAAGATGATAAAAATGCTTTTTGAGATAATATAAATAGAAATAAAAATAAAAATATAACTAAAAATACCAAATCCGTAAACTCTTACTATAAAAAAATAACTTACCCGCAATTGTATTTAAAAACATTAGATATTCAAAATTAGAAATTTCTCTTCTCTGCCACTTTTGTGTCATATTGGAGTTTCGCATTAATTGACGAGGAGACATCATAGAAGCTCTCCTGAAACAAATAAATAAAACAATCAATAAATACTCAAATTATTTGAAATAATTAATATAATAAATATAATTACCTAGTTTGTGGAATTCCATATTTGATACCGACACCAACACGAGGCAGCGCCTTTATAACTTTTTTAACAGTGCTCTGATCGGGCAAGGCGAACAATATTGAAGCTAAAAAAAAATTATTAATTCACTAAATAAAAGACAATTTTAAATACGAACAAGTGAAAACTTATTATAAACATTCAGTTCTCTTCAATAAATCAAAAGAAAATGAATAATATTACCAAATAATTAAAATTTCAAATCCGTAAAAATGTAGGTAATATGAAAGCTGAAAATTATTCACTAAATAAAAGACTATTTTAAATGACGAACGATTGTCATATGACATTCTACACTCAGTTAAAGAGTCAAATGTTGAAAAAAATATTAAAAAAATAAAATTTTTAATCTATAAAAAATGTAAGTATTATGATAAGGAATTAAATTGTTCGAGGAAATAACTTTTTTTTTTAAATTTTGTCTAATTCAAATCAATGGTAATTAATTTGGTCTAATTTTTGAATGCAGTTGTTCATGTATCGACTAAATAACATTAGAATTATTACAATCCTTTAACAACATTTTTTATTTTAATAAATAAAAAAACTCACTTAAAAATCTGAAACGGTAAAGATGAAATCATGGATCTGTTTCAGGACTATCATAATTATTGAATTCAATAATAATATTAATTGATTAAAAAACTTACTGCGACTAGCCAAAAAGATTTCTATTGCCAAGTTTTGCAAAAGGTAACGCCTTGAAAAAATAGCTCGTACTTCTGAAAAATACCATTTTCCATGGAGATGATCACAGTAGCGCAAGACCTAGAACAAAAAACATCATTATTAAATTTATGAAGGACAAAAAAAACATTAAAGAAACTAATCAATTAAGTCAATTAAGTAATAATTAAGTCTATAAAAAAGCCACGTTGTTTAAGAAGTCAGCACAACACGGTTCCGATTGTAGTTTAAAAAAAATCTATATTTTATTTGATTATTCCTATTGCGACCCTGGTAACCAGATACCGTGCAACGTACTCTGATGTTGCGAAGTTTCCTTTTTCACCAGACCTCGACGTGCAGGCGCACGACGGCGCAACCTGATCGCTCTCCGCTAATACTCGTAAAATTAATAATCCTATAGAAATATACGATTATTAGACAAAGCGCCGGTTAAATTGCAATACTTCAATGCTGAATCCTGAACGATATGTTATTCCTGGTATTGTGGTATTTTTATTTATTGTTAGTTCTGTTTCAGTAAACATAACGACGTCGTGAGTAATGCGACGCCGAAACGAACGATGTCGTTTTATTGTCTCGATATGAATATACGACGCAATTGTATCGGATGTCAATTATGCATTTACGAAACTGCATTCCGATATTAATATTTGCCAGTCGGGTACCTTGGCTGTATTATTTTTATTAAATTACAACATGTCTTCACAAAGAGAAGCATCAAGTAAATTTGAGGGTAAAACGTAAATAATGGAAGCGGTCATCCAGTGAACCTTTCTATATCGATAAATTAAGTTAAATTGTGCATATGGAGAAAAATTATAAATATAATAAATAACAAATTTAAAATAAAAACAATAAAATATTACCGTTACGATGATAGTTGCATTTAAGTAAAGGGGTATTCGGGTCTAGAGGCATGATTTTAATGTGATTTTTGAAAGGCCGTCAAAAAAGGCCAACAAGATTTTTACTAGTTTTTCACAAATTTTTAAAAAATGTTTTAGAATACAGAAAAAGATTGAAAATTAAAAACAGCCGAAAAGTTTTAATTCTCTAAAACAGAGAAAAAAATATTTATATATTATTAATCTTAAATAATGTCTCAAACTACTAGGACCAAGTTTCTTTTTTGACTTTGTATACAAGTACATTAGTCATATACGTTTTATAAGTTAACTTTTCTATTTTATTTCATTCTTGTATATAATTATATAGCGCACTATATATTCTATTATTTGTCAACAATGTTATAAAATTAGTAGTTCTCGCCTACCTCCATAGTTCTTGCCTACCCTTTTTCCATGGACAAGTTAAAACATGTTTTTTTACAAAATAACAACTGCCTTTTTTTATTTTTTTCTGATTTTTTACAAATATTAAATACCGCAATTTTGGGGATAAGCATAGTTCATACTGAAGAGAAATATATATAGAAGAATCTGTAAAAAATTCAGTTCAATTGATCCAATAGTAGTTGTAAAATCGGGTTTAATCGAAAAGACAGTTTCGAGAAAAACGTGTTTAAAGTTTCGCGGAGGAAGGAAACACAGAAGGATTAACGTGGCCAAACAGCTATATCTCCGAAAATAATTTCAATTTTGAAAAATCCTTTTTTGCACATATTCCTAAATAGTTAAACTTTGAAAATCCGCGATAAGGGATCGTTCAAGTATTACGTAAGCAGATTTACTACAATTATTTACCCCCCCCCCCCCTCCCCTTTGTCATCAAAAGTAAGCAAATTTCTTACCAAAAATAGGCAAAATAAGCAAATCAATAACCCCCCCGCCCCCCTATAGTGCTTACGTAATACTTGAACGGCCCCTAAACACAAAATCGATCTTTTAAAAATTCAAGACCAGAAGACCCCCTTTAGAATTGTAACCCATCGAGACAGAGCTTTCTTTTGAGGCTTCAATAAACTGTCACATACCATTTTCAGAAAGTTGAAATATTGTAGTTCAACCTTGATCATTATTATGATTTTTAACCAACTGTAGGACAATCCAACAAACTAACCCCTAACTATAGTAATTTATAATCACTTTTCCATACTTATTCATCCCATTACCGAGTACGAGTATACTACTCTGTAGCATCGTATTCCGCTGTATATTCTAGTGCGTCTCGATCTCTATTGTCCTCCCAATTTATGGACCCGAAATGTAAGTGATTTGTACTTGGAAATCTGTATTACATAGTCCTCTCTCGTTAATACGTAACAACAAACTAGGGTAGGTCGAGACCTTTCTCTTGATTCGGGATTAAACGGCGTCCCAGGGGATGACGCCGCCGATGTACTTCAATCTACAATCTCGCATCATCACAAAAACACTCCGAATGAAAAATGCACAATCAGGGGAGGACCCCGAACAGGAGACAACATTTTTTATTGTTGTAATTGCACGACGTTTAGAGTAGGTACTTGAAATTACTCTATGACTCAATTAGTAAATGTATAAATGTTATACATCTACTACAAATCAATAGGGAAAAAATGATTCTAAACAGCAAATTATTATTAAATTCATATTAAATACCTTTTTTAATTATTATCTCTTTTATTTACAACTGTCCAGTAAAGGACATTCAATAAATTTGATGAATTTACAATAGTCGGCCGAAAAGGGACATTGTATACTACATTGGCATGTTGGAAAAAACAACATTATTTATAAGAAATTATTCAATAAGTAAATAATTAAAATTATATAATTATCAATAAAATATTGTGAATTTTATATCGAATGGAAAAAACAACTACTGAGTTGTTTTTCCAACATGCCAATGTATTAGATTTGATCACTAAAAACTGATGCGTGATTTTTTTGAGTTTAAAATTTTTACATAAATACTATACTTTTTCACCATACCAGTTATTGTGATAATTTAATTTTTTGCAATTAGAAGAAACATTTCTTATATCGATTGATTAAAAACAAATCAAAGACCTCAAAATAAACGGACTACAATCAATTTTACATTTATTTTTAGAAGTTTACTCTGTAAAAGTATATTGGACAATTAACACAGGTCAAAGTAGTAATAGTATTAAAATAACTATGGCACAAAGAAAGGTGAATAAAAACATCAAAGTAACATATAATGACCAATAAAAGAACTATTATATTAAACAAATATCGAAGCACTACAGAAAATAATCAAAATAAAAAAATCAATTCTAAAACATAGAATCAAGAACAAACAATGGTTCATATAAATTGCCTAGTGAAATAAAAACAATGAATGATTTCAATAAATTCAAAAATAAAGTAAAAAAAAAATTATCATAAATGAGCAAAACTAACTTCCTACTATATAGCAAATATTTATAATTTTTACCTGATTAAATATATGTAATTATTTATCTTATATAAATATTATATAAATCTTCTAAAAATTATAAAAATCTTCTGTACGTGTGTTGTCATTCTATTGCTCCTGTACGGATATTTAAATTTCGATAAATAATTTTAGAGATAGCCAACAGAAATAAAATGTTGGTAATGAACTAAAATATTATTGCAATAACGTAAAAAAATGGAAAAAATTGCAAAAAATAACCCACAGATGAGATTAAAACTTTCGACATATCAATTCACTTAAAATTCAAACTTGAATAATATATGTGGAATTATGAGTAAGTAAAATGTAATTTTAAAATAATATAAAATATCGAAGCACTACAGAAAATAATCAAAATAAAAAAATCAATTCTAAAACATAGAATCAAGAACAAACAATGGTTCATATAAATTGCCTAGTGAAATAAAAACAATGAATGATTTCAATAAATTCAAAAATAAAGTAAAAAAAAAATTATCATAAATGAGCAAAACTAACTTCCTACTATATAGCAAATATTTATAATTTTTACCTGATTAAATATATGTAATTATTTATCTTATATAAATATTATATAAATCTTCTAAAAATTATAAAAATCTTCTGTACGTGTGTTGTCATTCTATTGCTCCTGTACGGATATTTAAATTTCGATAAATAATTTTAGAGATAGCCAACAGAAATAAAATATTGGTAATGAACTAAAATATTATTGCAATAACGTAAAAAAATGGAAAAAATTGCAAAAAATAACCCACAGATGAGATTAAAACTTTCGACATATCAATTCACTTAAAATTCAAACTTGAATAATATATGTGGAATTATGAGTAAGTAAAATGTAATTTTAAAATAATATAAATATTAAATTTAACTTTACTTAAAATGTTAATAGGGTAGGGCGGGGCTAGTTGAGCATAGGGGCAAGTTGAGCAATCGAAGTATCTCGAAAACTATTCGCCGTCCGTTTAGGCATTATATGGCGGAAAGATAGTAGTTTTGGAGAAATAAACATCCCGCGATCGCTAGTGGCCGCTGGACAAATGAATGAGGCTCACGGACGTTTGGTTTATTTTGAGACCAAAAAGTAAAAAAGTAATTCAACACGAGTTTTCGTCTGGTTCAGTCAAATGTTATTTATTTTTAATCAGGTAAATTTTATTCTTCCATATGATTATAGTACTTTTAATATGCACAGAGATTCTGGGTATAATTTTCACAGTTTTTTTATAAACTCACTTTTATTTTGAAATTACGAGTTGGGGTTAGTTGAGCATAGTTGCTAAACTTGTTCAATTACCATTAACTTCTAGAAATTAATTATTATTTTTAAGATTTAAGCTAAGTCTATGAGTAATAATATAAAGAAATAATGATTTTAAACAAAAATACTGAATATATTGGTAAAATAATTCCTAAGATACGATATTGTTTTGTTGATTCTACTTTTGGTTAATTATTCAAAGAAAATTACTATAAGTTTTGTTTTCTCTGACAATAAAGACAATAAATATAAAACTGGTTATTAAAAACTTATTTTATTTCATCACTAATCGACATTGAACCTATAATTTCATTATACTTTCTTAGTGCTCAACTTGCCCCACCTATGGGGTACATTGAGCATACTTGACTTTTTGCATTTAAACAGCTGTAGCTTTGAAGTTTTACTTATTACCAAAAAATAGTATTAACACTTTTGTTAAGCGATAAACAACGCCGTATAGCA